CCCGGAAGGAGGGGCTGGGCAGGGAATGGGAATGCAGAAGAAGATGGATGAGCAGGGCATGTGGATGCGGGGCAGAGCATGGCTAAGGATGGCCGGGAGGAGACATACAGTGGGACGACTGGTCTCAAGAATCTTTTTTTTTTTTTTTAAGATTTTATTTATTTGAGATAAAGAGTGAGCATGAGTGGGGTGGGGGTTGGTCGTGGGCAGAGACAGAGGGAGAAGCAGACTCCCCGCTGAACTAGGACCTTGATGCGGGGCTCGATCCCAGGACACTGGGATCATGACCTGAGCCAAAGGCAGATGCTTAACAACTGAGCCACCCAGGCGCCCCTGTCTTGAGATTCTAAGTTGAACTCTGGTTCATGACACTTTCATAGACTCACTGGCTGGTGTTTGAGGCTAGATGATTGTTCTTGGCTCTGACTTCCAAATAGAAGGTCGCTTTATCCTCTGGTAATTTTCAGCCCCAGGCAGAGTGGGGAAAACTGTAGTTGGGGTCCTGAGATTAGGGAAGTCACCCACATAGCCCGTCAGCCTCCAGGGCTGAGCCAGGGCTGAAGCAGCTGTTGGGGAAGGCTGGCTCCGGGGGTGGGGGAGGGCTGCCTTTCCCAGGGCCAGCCCTCCTCTAATTGCTTAGTTCTTTTTGTTATAATAACGGTTTTATTAGGAGATAATTCACACACAGTACAAGCCACTCATTTGAAGTGTACAATTTGATGGTTTTAGTCTAACAGTTATACAATTACTACAATATCAGAACATTGTCATCACCCCTAAAAGAAACCAGGCCCTCATTAACAGTCACTCCTTCCCCTGATCCAACATCCTCCTCCCAGCTCTGGGCCACTAGGAATCCACTTTTTAGCTCTATAGATGTGCCTATTCTGGACATCTTGTATGGATGAAATTATATAGTATGCTTTGGATTGGCTTCTTTCACTGAGCACGTTTTCAAGGCTCACCCATGTGGTAGCACATATCAGACCCTCATTATTATTATTATTTTTTAACTAGGCTCCATACCCAGCAGGGAGCCCAATGTGGGGCTTCAATTCATGACCCCGAGGTCAAGACCTGAGCTGAAATCAAGAGTTAGACACTTGCTTAACCAACTGAGCCTCCCAGGCACCCTCAGATCCTCATTACTTTCTACACTGACTACTATCCCATTGTCTGAATGTACCACGTTTATCTTTTCATCAGTTGACGGGCATATGGATTGTTCCATTTGGCTATTACGAGTAATGATCTATGAACATTCATATGCAAGTTTGTGTGGACATGTTTTTATTTCTCTTGGGGATATACCAAGGAGTGGAACAGCTGGATCATATGGTTATAATTCCTTCGTTCTTTGTCTATACTTCTGTTTTAGGACTTAGTACACTCATCACAAGTGCTCACAGATGTTTGCCCTATCACATTGCAAGCTTTCCTGTGGCAGACCCTGTAGAACCTAGCACCTACAAAGCACTAAGTACGTGGGAACTACTCCACTGAGCCAAATGCTGCTTACAGACATGGCGAGATGAGGCTGGAGAGCTACCCACCAGATCCCACAGCTGGGGGACGGGGTCCCTGGTAACCTTGACAAGCCTGACTGAAGTGGGTTCAAGAAAGGAGGAGAGGAGTCAGAAAAAAGGAAGTACAGATCATTTCTTTCGAGAAACTTTTCCATTAAAGGTAGTGGAAAAATGAGACAAGAGCTAGATGGGGAAGTGAATCAAGAGTATTTTGGTTTTTTGAAGATGTGGGAAATGATAGTCTGTTTGTATGACGTAGCAGAAAGGTAAATGCTGATGATGTGGGAGAGAGGTAGACAAGGAGTGATCTCCTAAACAGATGAGGGCAGCTGGGATCCCACACAGAAGCGGTGTCATAGATGGAATATTTTTGTCCTAAGACATGTTGAGACCCTAACGCCCGTGTGACTCTATTTGGAGACAGGACCGTGAGGAGGTGACAAAGGTTACATGAGGCCCTGAGGGTAGAAACCTGCTCTGGTAGAGCTGGTGCCCTCAGAAGAGAAGAGACGCCAGGGCTCTTCCCAGCCATGAGAGGACACAGCAAGAAGGCAGCCGCCTGCAAACCAGGAAGAGAGCCCTCACCGGGAGCCAAACCAGCCAGCACCTTGATCTTGAACTTTCCAGCCTCTAGAACTGTGAGGAAATAAATTTCTGTTTTTTAAGTAACCCAGTCTAATTTCTGTTTTTTAAGCCACTGGTATTTTGTCATGGTGGCCCCAGCAGACTAAGACAAAGGGGGAGACTGGAGGTTTCAGGAGAAGCAAAGAGGGTTCATGCACAGTGACAAGAGGGGAGGCAAAGGACATGGCTGCCAACGCAGCTGGGTGTGTAGACATGTGGCGGGAGGTTCTTCTGGATGCTTTTGTTTCAGTGACAGAGGAAGTGAGGTGAGCAGCTGAGCATGAGGACACAGGGCTGCAGGTCTAGGAAGAGAGGGGAGGAGACAGTGAGCAGACCAGGGCAATACAGTGAGGCCATCTGAGAGCCACTGGGAGCCCCCTGGAGGTCTACAGTCACTGAGATGACACTCCTCAGCCCAGGGCTGCCTTTGCCTGCAGGAGTGCTTAGCAGCTCAGATGCAGGGAGGGAACCAGCAGAGGTGACTCTACCCAGGGTTGGGATTTGGCCAAATGAGGAGGATGAACAGGAGGGTAAAAGAGTGAAGGTAGCAGGTTGCTCTCATGATGAACATGGAGACCCAGCACGGCTCGGGGAATGAGAAGTCGCAGTGGCTGCAGGCCAGTGGGGGGCCGTGGGGTCATTGCCTTGGAGGACCTGGTGGGGCTGCGGGGTCTGTGGAGTGGGGCGCCCAGGGAGAGACGTGTGAGACGGAGAGTGGAGCAGGGATGCTTGTAACAGGGACTGTGAGGGGCTGTGGGCATTGGTGGTGGAAGGTCAGGGGCAAGACCAGGACGGTGGCTGCTGAGAAGGGAGGGAGGCAAGATGCTTGGGGCAGACCATGCCAGGGCACTGGGCCTGGGGTTTCTGAGAGCACACTCAGATTCTGAAGGGAGGAGCGTTAGGAAAGAGTGATCTGGACCTAGCGCTAAAATCTTCGCAGGTTGAGGAACAACAAAGATAACCAGAAAAGGGGACGTGTGGTGGGTGGTGATCTGCTGGTTTGCCCACTGGAACTGAGGAAGGAGGCGTGGGCTGGAAGCAGACAAGAGCCGGGAGGACGCCGGCCCTCCCTCTTGCCCAGGGTCCAAGGAGCATAGGAGAGGAAGGAACCGGCCCTTGAGAGGGCCTCAGGAAGCAGCATCCCTTGGGGAGAGTCAGGTTCCGGTGAGAACAGAAAGGTGGAGGGAACATTCATAGCAGAGAATACGAGGAATTTTGCCGTTGATGGAGGGGTCAGAAAGGGCCTTACGGAGCATCTACAGACAACGGTCTGGAAGGCGAAGGATGTTCTGGGAGTCCCAGGCTCCCCACAGGGCCTGGAATAAAGGGTTTCACGGGATGAGCCAGACACACATTTTGATAGGAAGCTTTGCTGCCCAGAGGTGGGAGGACCAGGGAGAAGTAGGGGTGGGTCTTCCCAGCAGTACTCAGGACTCCCAGGCCCCCGCCTCATTCTTGCTGATACCCGGGAGGGGCCCAGAGAGAGCTGCCTCATGGGGCTTTCAGCACACTTTGTCTTGGTGTGAAAAAGCAGTATTTCCTCTTTCAGGCTGAAGACTCTCATGTGGCGGGAGCTCCAGGGGTAGTGTGGGTTCAGGAGCTAAGGGCTTGGGATGTTGGTATATATGATGGCCACCTGAGGGACAGCCAGGGCCGGTCTGCTTCCTCATTCAGGAGAGGCTTCTGTTCTGCATTTGTATAAGACTTTACAGTTTTTAAGAGTTCTCTGCTGTTTCCCTGCCCATGTGACAGCTAACACGAGACCCGGAGTGAGTTAAGAGACCTTCATGAGACAAGTCTCCCTGCGTGTGGATGACGGTGATCTGGTCTTAGCAAAATAAACGGACGACCCGTGTGTTCTCACCTCCTGTCAAGAGCCACAGACCCAGCACGCAGAATGTACTTTGTCCATCTCCTCCCTCACTCTACTACTGATCCTGCAATGAATTCTTTTCCCTCTAAAACAAGAGATGTGGTGATCCACGATCCACTGTTTTCGTTTAACACCCAGTGCTCCATGCAGTACATGCCCTCCTTAATACCCAACACCGGGCTAACCCATCCCCCCTGCTAAAAACCCTCAGTTTGTTTCTCAGAGTCCATAGTCTCTATGGTTCATCTCTCCCTCCAATTCCACCCCCCCTCATTTTTCCCTTCCTTCTCCTAGCGTCCTCCATGCTATTCCTTATGTTCCACAAATAAGTGAAACCATATGATAATTGACTTTCTCTGCTTGACTTATTTCACTTAGCATAATCTCCTCCAGTCCCATCCATGTTGACGTAAAAGTTGGGTATTCAACCTTTCTGATGGCTGAGTAATATTCCATTGTATATATGGACCACATCTTCTTTATTCATCTGTTGAAGGGCATCTCGTTTCTTTCCACAGTTTGGCTATTGCAGACATTGCTGCTATGAACATGGGGTGCATATGGCCCTTCTTTTCACTACATCTGTGTCTTTGGGGTAAATACCCAGGAGTGCAATTGCTGGGTCATAGGGTAGCTCTATTTTTAAATTTTTGAGGAACCTCCACACTGTTTTCCAAAGTGGCTGTACCAACTTGCATTCCCACCAACAGTGTAAGAGGGTTCCCCTTTCTCCACATAATAAAATTAAAAAAAAAATAAAAATAATTTAAAAAAATAAAAAAAAAATCAAACAAAAGAGAAGCAGAGAATAGATTTTAGGAAAAAACTTTCACCTCCTGAGGTGTGTGACTCAGGATATTTTTCTGACTTAAGAGGAAAAAAAAAAAAAGCCAAACCATCTACCACTTATGTATATATTTACATATTTACAAGTTTATATCTCTCTGATAGAAAATTTATAGTAAAAAATTGAGACACAAAAGTCATCTACAGTATCTAGTCATAGATCACAGCAGGGATAGGGTAGATACTGGTGCTGGTTGTTAGTTGATATTTCTGCCAAAAAAGAACCTTCTGGTGGAGGGCCACTTCAGATTAGAATTCCAAAATGTCCTCGAAGATGACATAAACTTGAATGGCAAATCAGATGGCTTTTTTTCCATTATTTAAATAACTTAGTCGCTATACATTTGATTTCATCTTGTAGTACCGGTCAACTGGGCCTATTAAAAAAAAAGAGATCTCATGTTAGTAACTTGTAAAATGCAGACCGAATTACCCTCCTAGTCTAATGTGAGTAGCCCTTTTACAATAAAGCCATCAAAGCCAAGGGCTCCGGGGAGCAGAGATGGAGGGAGACTGGTCTTGGGCCCTCCTGGGATGGTAGCTGGAGGCCCAGAAGAAGTTACCACCTTCAGTGCGAGGCACTTGTTAACAGCCCTGTTTCCTCAAACCAACTCAGCCTTTGAGTGGCATCGAACTCTCCAAAGAACAAAGCTGAGGCCTTAAGGACCCTTACGTAAGCCGTTGCTCTTTGTGGCATTTATCTGCTCCTTGCCACATGAGTCTCCTGGGGATAGTTTCTGCCCCTCCCTCAGCCTCTCTTCCTTGTGAGTCATCTCCACAGTGGTGATGGGACAGGCCCGGGTTAGCTCAGAGGAAATGAGCCCAGGCACAAAGCTGCAGAATTGCCGGGACACGCCCCTTCAAACTGAGGTCCCCGTTCTTGCATCGTGCCTTCCCAACAGTCTGTACTTCATAGGTCAGACCAGATCTGACAGGCGCAGCCCAGACCACACCAGGGTTCCCCAAATATCTGTACCCCGTTAGTGGCCAGAGATCATAAACAGTGAGCGCTGGAGTCACAGGGGTTAGGTAAAAGGGAGCAAATTATGAGCTTTCCTTATTAAGAATCTAATAGGCGCCTGGGTGGCTCAGCCAGTTGCGTGTCTGCCTTCAGCTCAGGTCTTGGTCCCGCATCGGGCTCCCTGCAGAGGGGAGTCTGCTTCTCCCTCTCCCTCTGCCTCTCCTCTCTGCTTGTGCTCTCTCTCAAATAAATAAATAAAACCTTAAAATAAATAATCTAATAGAACGTGAAAATGGGTGCAGTAAATTTTTGAGGGGGATGAAGGCACAGGACTCCTTAGAGCAGCTCTGCAGGTGCAGGGCTCGGTGCCCTGCTGCTCCCCTGCCGCCCTTACCCCCCTGGGGGCTCTCCTCACCCACGCCCACACCTGTTGTACCTCCTGCCAATGAATGGGGCCTGCCTCTCCAGCTCCCCTTCAGGCTGAGACATGGCCTACAGACTGCAGATCTTTCTTCCCACAGGAACAGGGTTCTCTGCTCCCTTTTCAACTTGGGTGAATTTGTGACCTGTTTTCTAGGCATTTACACGAAAACGGAGACTACCAGCACTCCCGGAAATTATTGACATTGACCTATCTGGGTGAAAAGTGTGATATCATGTCCGTTTTTCTCTCAGCTGTCTGAAATCTACTGGCTGTCCTTAGATATTTTCTGATTGGGTCTAGCTCTTTCAGACACTGTCGTTCACAGAAATATGACAATTTGGCCTTTGTTCCTGGTTATGCGTGTCCCCTCCCCCACTACTCTTCCAACTCTTACCCCCTCCACCATATATATAACTCTTTTAGTAACTGAGTTTAAGGAAGTCCCACTGCAGCCACAGTGGGCTCTTTAAATTTAAAAATTATTATTAAATAGGTAGTAAATACACAAAGTACAAAATCTGAAGAGTAAACAAAAATACACCAAGAAATGTGAGCTCCCATACCCAGCCCCAAGCTACCCAGGTTTCTCCTCAGGATGTCACCCTCAGATGTCACTTTTTCCTTCCTAGACTCATTATCCCAAAGCAGTGCTTTTCATGCTTTTTGGAACTGTCCTGTTCAAGAGCCTACAACGGCTCCCTATTCCCATATCGCTCCATCTTCATGCCCCTGACTTCACTCTTTTGCCACTTGCTCACCTTGATGCTAAGTAGGCCAATCTCTCCGTCAAATAAACCACGAGGGTTTAGCTCCCCTCCACGTCTTTGCCTCTGCTGCTTCTCCCGGCTGGAATGCCTTTTCCACTCCACCGCTGCTCTGAAGATCCAGCTCCCATCCTCCCCCCCCCCCTTCAGAGTCTTTCTGATGATTCTGGCCTCTTCCTCCCCTCCCCTCGGCTGGCTGCCCAGCCCTGACCAACCCCACCACACATTCTGGCCCATTACCCCGTGCCTCCGCCCTTCTGTTTACATTCTCGTCCTCTCTCTCCGGTGTGCTTACAAGCTGCTCCAGGGTGGGAGCCCTAACGTAGCCCTTCTCTGAATCCTACACAGTGTCGGGCCTCCCTGGGAACAGGATCTCCAGCCATCGGCTAACACAGTGCCTGACCTCACTGCAGGAACCTCCGTGAAAGCGAGGCTCCGGCGAGGGCACGAGCTCTGGGATGCTCCATCGCCCCGGGCTCACGGCCCGCCCTGGCCCGCCCTGGCCCGCCCTGCATGACGTCGGCAGCCATGCTTCGGACGGCGCCCCGCCCCCGCTCTCACCAGCTGGGTCTCAGCAGAGGCGCACCGGAATCCCGCCCCGCCCCGGCACTCGTGCTTCCTGCCGCCAATCTGTAACAGCCACCGCGCCCTCTTTCTCTACCCCCTTCCCTGCTGGCTCACCGGTTCCTCACCTCACCTACTGGTGCTCACCCCCTCTCCAGCCCCCTCCGCATGGCCTCCTGCCATCGCTGGCCTCCCTGGGAACTTGGGTGTGTCCCGGCCAGCAGCTGGGGAGAAAGGGACTCTCTGAGTCCCCAGGCCCCGGGGCACGCAGGTGCTCCCCGTTGCGCAGAGGCCCGTCCTCATTCCCACTCCAACCGCGGACCCTGTGGCTTTCTTGAAAATCAGCAACTCACTCAACAAAGCCAAAGGTCTTGACCACCCGGCCTCCTCCTTAGCCTCTCCCCACTGAGGGTCTCTAGCAGGGGGCCACCCTGGCTCTCCTCCCGGACTCGTCCCACCGCGGCTCCTCCACTCTGCCTGTCACCCGAGGGCCTTGGGCTTGGCTTTCTTGGTGACCTCAGATGCTCAGAGCATCAGTTACTGTACTGATGAAGATGCTGTGGCTCTAGCCACAGCCCCTAAAGCCACTTCTGCAGTTATGCGCCGGACCTAGGAGCCAAGTAATGCGCCCACCCCACACTCAGCCCGTCACAGCATAGACCCATTTTCCCGAGCCAGAGCCGCGCCCGACTCCTCCGTACGCCTGGCGGGGCCACCCATCTTCCAGGCACCAAGCGTCGGATTTCCTGCCACTTCTGGCTTCTTTCCTGGATAATAATAATATTCATAACCATAATAGCACAGTAACATTTATTAAGCCCCATTCTGAGCCAGTCACTGTTCAAAGCATTTTATTTTTAACAACTTGTTTATAAATGTTGCTATTCCTATGCTATTATTACCTACACTATTATTTCTCTTCTCTTGTTATGCCCATTCTCCACAGAAGACAACTGAGGCACAGAGAGAGGGTTGAAGTGACTTGTCTGAGGCCCGTGAGAGATGAGCTGGCAGGGAACCCCCACCGCCCCCCCCCCCCCAGGGAGCCTGCCCTCTCAGCTGGAATGATCGTTAATATGACCGCCACACTTCCTCCCGCACCTAGCCCTCCACGGACGCTCTGCCACGAGCACCACCACGATTCAGGCCGTCTCTGCTTGCTTGCACTGTTTCATTGTCCACCAACCAGTGTCCCCTTCTCCAGCCTCTTGTCTGTTAATTCCCCCTATGCTTTGTCTAACGCATAGCTCTGCTCAGTAATCCTCAGCGGTTTCCCAGGAAAAAAAATGACACAAACCTCCTGGCAACTCTCCCTCATTATCGGCGTGGCCCAGCCTGTCAGTTCAGCGCCAGCTCGCTCTATTCACCGATATCTGCTGCCCCAAAGAGGATGACTCTTCACTCCCTATCCCGCCCTTTACAGCCCTGAGCCTTTACTCTTCCCATCACCCCCTAAAGCCCAGCTCCTGGGCCCTTGCCTCCTGACTGCCAAGGACCTGGCAGGGGGACAGGGGTCCTTCAGGAGCCTCCACAGGGCAGTTTAGTCAGCACTGCTGCTCCTGACTGTGTCTGGATCCTAGTTTTTGTTTGTGATACAGGCCCAGCTCTGACCTTGGCTCCCGAAGTGAATCCAATCCTTGGTCCAATTCTCCCGGGATGGGAGACGGAGGCTAACAGTATAACCCTCGGAGTCTGAAGACCCTGATTTGAATCCCAGCTTGACTGCTTCTTAGCAATGGGACTTGACCTCTCATAGTCGCTGTCTCTAAGCAAGTGGTAACGACACCCCTGTGCAAGGCCCATCGCAAGGCTGTGAGGAGGTGCTACACGGAAAAGTGCCGAGCCCAGCGCTGATGCTACATATTACCATTCAAGACAAGTGACAGATACACAGATGGTCCCCAAGGAAGAGGCGCTCTACATCAGGGCTGTTCTGGTTCTGCTACATGATACGTAACTTACCCACTGTACAGTCTACAGGGTACTTACTCGGTTCTCTCTGTGTTTCTGCCACATTTCAGACAACCTACAAATGAAGGAATTTTCAACTCAGTTAAAGGACTGAAAAGCAAAGCTGAAATCTGCAGTTACAGCCTGCCTGATGGGAGACCTAAATCTGGAACACTCTAAACCACACCTGTCAAGTTGGTCTTCCTGCTCTTCCAAATGCATAAGTTAAACTAACTACAAAGGGGGTCCAAAGAGGTGTTCCAAAACTGCTCATCAGATGACAGAAAAAGAAAACCAAACACTGCTAACAACAATGGCTATTTCTACAGCAGTTCATGCATAAGGCTAAAGATGTAGGGCAGGCTTGGATGGCGTGGGCCAGCACTGCCTGGGAATATATGAGCCACAGGGGTAATTTAACAATTTTAGCAGTCACCTTACAAAGGAAAAAGAACTGGGTGAAATTCATTTTCAAAATGTTTTAATTTGGAAATTAATTTTAATGTTTAATTTTGACACTTTAATAATTTTCAAAATATTTTATTTAGTAAGCCCAACATATCAAAAATATTATCATTTTAACATGCAATCAAAATAAACATTACTGGGCGCCTGGGTAGCTCAGTTGGTTGAGCAACTGCCTTCGGCTCAGGTCATGATCCTGGAGTCCCTGGATCGAGTCCTGCATTGGGTTCCCTGCTCGGTGGGGAGTCTGCTTCTCCCTCTGACCCTACCCCCTCTCAGGTGCTCTCTGTCTCATTCTCGCTCTCTCAAATAAATAAAATATTAACAAAAAAACAAACATTACTAATGAGATATTTTGCAGCCCTTTTCAAGTACTAAGTCTTATAAATCCAGTGTGTAATTTCTATTTCAGCACATCTGTTTGGACCCCCACGTTTCAAGGGTTCAACGGCTGCAGGTGGCTCATGGCTACCATTTTGGACAGCGCCGTTTTGGACATTAAGATATGGCTTCCACACACGTACCCATCAGTGTCCTCCCATAAAAGGTATCAGCCCTTGTCTGGAGCCAGACTAGCGGTCCAGCAGCCTAGTCCGCAGGCTCGACTGAACTTACCCTGGTGTCTGTCAACTACAACTCACCGCCGCAGCTGCTTACGTTCCCCTGTCCCCCTCAGAAGGCTCCGTGCCAAATGCCTCACCCTTTCCCAAGTTATGGCTTTAAATTGTGAAGCTGGCTGAAGTAATTTTTTTCAAGACAATTTTTTTTTTCCAAGTTATACAGAGCTACCGGTACTGCCCATGGGAGTAACTTTCACTCCACTGAGTGAACTTCTTTTTTTTAAAAGCTAAATCAACTGACTGTTTTGGAATTATATGGGCACTCAGTACCATCTTTTTTTGGTTCAGGTATTCTGGTGACAGATCCACAAGAACTCTGAGTGGAAAATGATTTTGGTTTCTGGGGACCAATCTGTTATGGAGACGATTAACAATGATGCTGCTATTTGGGGATTAAAAATAATTTTTTACAAGAACATTTGGGCTCCCCCAATATTTTACTCATTGGTAATGAAGCCTCAAAACTCTCTTCAGCTGATTTTTCTATCTTATTTAGAGGAGAGTCAACTGACTTGTAATCTACTACCTAGGGATCTTTGTGGTATTTGCAACCTATAATACGGACGCAGGACCCCTGGGACACCATATTCTAGTGGCAATGCGCACACAGTAGTCTAGGGCAGCAAAGACGGAACTTTCCGCGATGATGGAATTCTTCTCTATCTGGTCCGTCCCATTACGGTAGCCGCTGGCTCTCTGTGGCTACCGAGCACTCCATATGTGGATAGTTCAAATGAAGAAAGAAATTTTAAATTAAATTTAATGAATTTGATTTTATATTTAAACCACTCCACGTGGCCAGTGCCTACGGTACTGAGCAGTGCAGGTCTAGGGAACCCGAAATCTAAGTTGGTCCAAGACGTGAATGTGAAATGACATGGGTCCTACACAGCATCACGTGGCTGAAAGCTGACTCTTATGCATTCCCTGTGGCAGTGACAAATCAGTCTTGCAAAGAGCCCTCTGGAGAAAGCGGATATGGAGAGTGTCGGGGCTGCAAGAACATCTGGTCTTCACATTTACAGCCTGGATCCTGGTCTGTGTCCCCTGGGGCTTGAGGAGGGGCTTGTTGCCAGGCAAGAACAGGATGGGGGACAGGTTGCCTGTTCTCCAGGGCACATGGGCTGCCTTCCAGGCTGGCCCACATCTCTAAGGAAGCAAGGATGGCTCAGGAAGGCAGTGCAGGTAATACCGGTCATTATGACCCACTCCAAGTCACCAAACCCCAACAACAGCTGCCTTTTCCCCGGGACCTCCTTTTGGGCTAGAAGACGTGGAAAGTACGGCTCTGGCAGCCAAGAGCAAGAGGTCTTTTGCAAAATCTAGCTTGGAGACCAGAGATATAATATCTGCTGAAGCCGACCACAAGTAGAAGGAGGCTGGGGAACAGCCGGCTGTGTTTTCACATCTATAATGCCCCCTATGGCCTAAGGATTCCTTCCGCCCTCAAGATCATGCAAAATCTTGGCAAACCTGGCAGACCCAGGCAACCTCGGACAACAAGGAACACAAAATGAAACAAAAGGCTTGCTTTTCTTCCAAATGCTTAAAATTTCAAACTTTGCTTTAGTCTCTAAACTATTAATTTTCTAGCCCTTGAAAACCCAATTCGAGTTTGAAAACTTATTTTTTTGAAAGAAAGTATACATACCTTTTCTAAACAGCAAAAAAAATGCCACTCCTGCTACGAGGACTACTGCTGGTATAATCACAAAATTGTGCCTTGACTGACCTGTAAAAAAAAAAAAAAAAAAAGGAAGCCAGTGAGAAAGAAATAGCCAGACTGATCAAAACAGAGATCCAGGTGACTCTCCTTATTTGCAGATTCCATATCTGCAATCTACCTATTTGCTAAAATGTATGTGTCCTCCCCACATCAATGTTCACAGCACGTTCATGGTCCCTGGAGGACATGTGCAGCAGGATGGTGAAAAATCTGATTGCTAGGTGCGCACATCCCCAACTGAGGCCAAACAAGGCAACGCTCTTGCTCTTGAGTCCTCTCCTCTAATGTAAGCAAGTGTCCTATTCCTGGTCTGTGTACTGCCACACTTTTGTCCCTTTTTGTTGGCTATTTCATTGTCTAAAATAGCCCCGAACACAGTGCCAAAATGCTGTGTAGCGTTCCTAAGTGCGAGAAGGCGTTCCTAAGTGCAAGAAGCGTTCCTAATGTGCCTTTCAGAGAAAATATATGTGTTAGATATGCTTCATCTAGGCCTAAGTCATGGCGCTGTTGGCCGGGAGTCCAATGTTCATGAATCAACAATACATATATAATAAGGAGTCTTTAAATAGAAACACACACAAAGCAAGGTTATTTATTGATTTCTTGCCAAAAGTGTGACCAGAAGCTTGCAGGAGCCTACACCCTGCATTTCCCAGAAGCAACATTCAGTATTCACTAATTCCGTATTCACGGTGACTTTATGACACACAACTACCACAAATCAAGAGAACCGACTGTATTTATAAATAAACTTACCCACACAAGGTTGATACATAGCAAGCCCAGTGTTATTTATTAAAAGATGAAAATATTACACTAGAAGTGTCGTTCTCAGCTAGCCCACAGTACCTGTGGAAGCTGAACTTAGCAGCATGTGTCTGGTAGGGCAATTTGGCAGTAGCGTAACAAGTGCTCAGTAAAAACGTCTGACATAAAGCAGCCAGACACTGTGCTAGGCGATACGCCCACAGTCTCACTGAACCATTACAACACTTAGAGAGTGCTTTAACCTCTTGGTGCCTCGGCTTCCTCAAGGGGTAACTGTAAATGGGACTGATAAATATGCCCATCTCACAGGGCAGTCGTGAGCATCAGTTAACACCCTTGAGAACAGCTATTAGCTATCACCATCAAGCTATTGGGGAGATGCCATTGGTATCTCTACTAACATCCTTTGACCCCGCAAGTCCATTTCTAAGATGTTAACCTACAGAAACCATCAGTGACGTGCCCTTCCCCTCCCTCCAAAAAAGGCACAAAGATATTTACCGCAGCTTCCCTGACAATATCAAAAAAGCTAAAACAACCCACGTGTCCTCAACGGAAAAGTAAGACATGTTTATAAGGTGGACTCCATCCAGCTACTAAAAATACAAAGGCAGAATACTTAAGCATATGGCAAATGATCACAATGCACTGCTAAGGGAAGGATGGGGTCACCAACGGCAAACACCGAGGGTTAAAAGAAAAGGGAGAGGCTGGGGAGGGGAGAGAGAACGTGAATGAACAAATAAGAATGAGCATGTGAACACACACCCTTTCCTCTTATTTGGAACACAGGTGGGTTAGGACAAACAGAAAGTCACCCACCTGTATGATCTGAGGAGCCCCTGGCCAGAAACTGCTAGTTAGCTCCCTGTAACGCCCCCTATCCATTCACCCCTCTTTAGTAACAGAATTCAGACTTTCAGCTGGGCATACTGTCACTCCACTCAAAGATTAATTCCTCAGCCTTTCTTGCAGCTAGGTTTGACCACGTGACTAAGTGTTGGGCACTGAGCGGAAGGAAGGGTTGTGTGGGATTTCTCCAAAGTCTCCCTTTTCTGGATCCTCCTGCCTGAAATAGTGGGGGAGGCAGGAGGAACCGGGCTGCTGCTGGGTCTCTGACAACTTCATCAAGCAGCAGTACACCTAGCACTGCCTACCTGGGAGATAGATAGATATATAGTTAATGTGAAAGAAGTCACCTACATTTTTACGCCACCGATATTTAAAAAAAAAAAAAATTTTTTTTTTTTTTTAAACAGCTGAATCTAACAGTACTTGATCCAGTCCCTTCCAAAAACCTTTCTCCCAGGGATGATGCCAGATGCTGCCGCCACTCTGGGAGGGCAGACAGTCAGGGGAGATGACAATGACAGTAATACAGATTCTTCAGGCTACTCCTTTTCTCTTCCCCTGGCTCCTGAGATGCCACCATGCTGGAGTTTTCTTCCTGTCTCCCTGGAGGTCCTTCTCAGTCTCCTCCGCGGGACGCCCCTCCTCTCAACAGCCTCTAAATGCTGGAGTTCCCGAGACTCAGGCCCTGTCGTATCTGCTCACTAGGTGATCTCACCTCGTCCCACGGCTTTCAACGCCGACTATATGCTGATTCTGCCCACGCTTACTTCTCCCGTGCTAACGACTCACCAGAGACGTAGACTCGTAAATCAAAGCGCCTTACCTGACGTCTCCGTTTGAAATCTAACGGGCATCTCCAACATGCCCCAAACCAAACTTCTTATATCCTCCACACACCTGCTTCTCTGCTTTCTAGTCTCAGTAAATGGTGACACTGTTCATCCAGTGGCTTGAACCAGAAATCTGAGGGTCATTTGCACATTTCTTATTAGGGACCCTTCTCCCCCACTCAAACCATCAGGAATTCTTGGGGCTGTATTTTCAACATGTACCCTAACCTGAACCACTTCTTCCAATCTCTGCTGCTATCACGGTCTTCCGAGACACCATAACCTCTGGCTAAGACCCAGAGTTTCTAAATTGGGTGTATAAACCCCAGGGAGTACACGAAATGACGAGTGAGGTGCAAAAAAGCGAGAAGCTCTACTTACATTTGCTACTTATATCAGTCTTTAAGTTTTTCCGATTTCCTCTATGTTTTAAAATGGTACAAGTTAGGGGCACCTGGGTGGCTCAGTCAATTAAGCGTCCAACTCTTGGTTTTGGCTCAGGTCATCATCTCATGGGTCATGAGATCGAGCCCCGCACTGGGCTCTGCACTCAGTAGGGAGTCTGTTTGAGATGTCCTCTCTCCTTCTCCCTCTGCCCCTCCCCCAACTGGCACATGTCCTCTCGCTCTCTCAAATACATAAATAAATCTTTAAAAATAAAATAAAATGGTACAAGTTATATTCATTGTGGTAGAAGCCTCTAGTGGTCCCCATACCCAATCTCCCCATTTTCCTTTGGTAATAGAACCCCTGTGTTTTAAGTAGGTGCATGGCCAGCCAGCTAAGGAGGACATTTCCCAGCCTCCCCCAGCGGCCGTGGCCGTGAACTCAGTCTGGCCAAGTTGCTGGCACTGGAAGTGATGCATGCCGCACTGGGTGGATCTTTAAAGGGAAGGATTGTGCTCTCTCCTCTCTCTTCCCACTTGCTTTGAGGCAAATAGAGATATGAACCCCTGTTTGACTCCAGAGAGCACAATTTTTTTTTAAGATTTTATTTATTTATTTGACAGAGACACAGCGAGAGAGGGAGCACAAGCAGGGGGAGTGGGAGAGGGAGAAGCAGGCTTCCCGCTGAGCAGGGAGCCCGATGCAGGACCCCAGATATAGGTCTCCTATGTCAGCACAACTCTGGGATTTATTAATTTATTTTTAAAGATTTTATTTATTTATCTGACAGAGACAGCACGCACAGGTAGGTGGAGCGGCGGGCAGAGGCAGAAGGAGAAGCAGGCTCCCCACTGAGTGGGGAGCCCGATGTGGGGCTCGATCCCAGGACCCCGGGATCACGACCTGAGATGAAGTTAAGACACTTAACCCACTGAGCCACCCAGTTGCCCCAGCATCACTCCAGGATTTAGATGACCTAAGAACTACCTAGCAATGTTTCTCAAACTTTCAAAATCTACAATGCAATGTGAACTATTAGTTTGGGGGGGAAATGTAAAAGAAAGGTGAATCACCATTATTGCATTACAAAGAGAGTTTGTTTGCAAATTAACAATCTCTTATCATCAATGAGAGGGATGTGATCAAGACGATCTTTTCTCAAGGTATCTACAGGGAAGGGCATCTTATTTGGACACTCAATTCTAATGGTAAAGGTTAAATGAAAACCTATGCAAGGGCAAAATGCTGGAAAATCTCTTAAAATATTCCATATAAATCTATAGAGGATCTTCTTCAGAAATTATTTCCTTCAAACATTTGACTCTTGGGGCACAAGAAGCTTTTCAAGATTTCAACTTGCTCGTGCATTCTGCACACAATACCTTCTTTCTCTTGTTGGTTATGTGAATCACACACAGGCCAAAGCCAAAAAAGCACACTGCTTTTGTTTCTTGTTCCCATGACAAGGCAACTATCTGCTAGCATGCAAATTGCACTTCCACACCTTGGATATGGTATACACCTTGGATGTTATGCAACACCCACTAAGTGGAATTAATAAAGAAGTGTTTGCTCCAAGCATAACAATTGTCATTGACTTTGCAGCTGGCTTCCAAATCTTCTGGATAATTGTGTGACTTGCACGAAGGGCGCTGCCCTGAGTGGTACCTCTGTGGGTTTGGTCTTTTTTCTGCCTTTAGGGACCAAAACCATCAGTTAAGAACTGGAACTCATTTTGCACTTCATCTGGAAGTATTTGTTTGTTTTACCCAGAAGTCACACTGCTTAGTCTGAAAATGATAAAATGAACTTAAGGCCTCCATGTCATTATCTGAAAATTTTCAGGGTGACTGGGTGGCTCAGTCGGTTAAGCATCTGACTCTTGATCTCAGCTCAGGTCTTGATCTCAGGGTGGTGAGTTCAAACCCCATGTTGGGCTCCACCCTGGGCATGGAACCTACTAAGAAAAGGAGAGAGGAGAGAGCAAAGAGGAAAAAGGAGAGAGGAGAAATGAAAGAAAGGAGAGAAGAAAGAGGAGAGGAAAGAACATTTTCAAAAAGGACAGTACATCGGAGACTCAGGGAGAAGGGCTCACTAATCAAATATAATTCAAGGTTTTTTATATTCATTATATTGACTAATTGCCTTTTTCTGTTTCAGTTGCTTGTTCAGAAAAAACTGATTCACAGCATCACCCTATCACTGCCCAAGGAGACTCAAAGAGTCTGTGTTTGCCCTTGAGATCGGTTCACTATTACAATTAGGATATTGTTCTGCACACTAAGGTGTTCACAATTTTCATCTCTTCTTTTATGTTCTAATGACCCACTTTCAGATTACTGATCCTTTTGTCTGTAAACTGGGAATCTAATCTAAAAAAAACCCGATAATAAAAATCGCAAGTTACAAAGGTACGTGATAGTTAAACAAAATAAAAGGACCACAGCCAAGACAGATTGTCAGGCTATTCATGGAGTAGCCTATAGACAAATGTACCTAGTGCACGTTCTTGGAGCACAAGTGCAGCCTTTAAGAACACAATGGTTATTAAGAACATTACAAAGTACTGTTGTGAATAGTTAGGGGCATGGGCTCCGGAGCCCGATGGCCTGACTTCAAAACCAGGCTCTGCCCCTTACTCTCCGTTGACCTGAGGCAGTCAATCACACTAAACTCCCTGTGTCCAGGTTTCTCCCCATAATATAAAGATTGTAGTGACTAGTACCCAACTCATACAGTTGGGGGAAGACTGAATTACTTAACAAATGTATGAGAACGGTGCTTGACACAGAAAAGGCTAAGAAATGTTATGTGTATATCTGTAATGCAGTGTCTGTGAAAACCATACCTCATTTTACATTTCAGACTTGTGAAATGCAAGTCAGCATCTCTGGTTTGAAACTCCCGAACCACCCACGGTCTCTGGACCCCACCGATATAGAGTATCCCCGCCATGACACACGGGGCTGTTTACTCACTGTTTGGGACACAGGTTGCTAAAGCAAGCGATGATGTCTGTTTGGACAATGGGTTGCTCACAATACACTGTATTTCCTGTGAGAGATCATTTTTCTTCTTAATCAACACTTCAGACGGATCGGAGCTATTTTCACACAGTGTTGAAAAGCAATTCCATGAGTAGTTTAAAAATTCTGTGTGGTTGTAAGATTCCGGGATCCTGCAACGGACTGTAATGTCTTCAGCAGTCGAGGTGCAATTTAGTGTTGGAGATGGAAGAGGATCTGGATAAAAGAAATGTAGTATTTAGTACAGGAAAGAGTGACATTTAGGCTCATCGTCTACAAAGGTATGAAGAGCTCCCAACTTCCTTATGAGCTGGAAAAGACAAGCAGACCACCTCCTTGAGCACCCAGGGGAGAGAACTCTCTCTTCTTCTGGGTCAGATCTACCTGCTCAAGTTCAGAATATACGCAGGCACCAAATCCCTTATCCTCGTTTCAGAAAGCCAAGAGTTTCCACAGGATAGCAGCAAAGTCACTTAGCTCCAAATCCTCATCTGAGTTGACATGAGGATTTAACAGTTTTTATTTTTCTCACTTACCTCATTTTTATTTTTATTTCTTTATTTTTTAAGTAAGCTCTACACCCAACGTGGGGCTTGAACTCATGATCAAGAGTTGCGTGCTCGACTGACTGAGCCAGCCAGATGCTCTGTATTTTTCTCACTTACTTAAAATATTCATTATCCTGTTGTACTGAAAATATTCTTGTGCTTGAGTATAAGGTGGTCCCCAAAACTAAGTGGGCTGCTTCTTAACATATGTAGAGGAAATAGTTTATGCTACCTTTCTAAAATCTAAAAATGTTTAATTCCAAAAGATATCTGACTTACAATGTTTGCAAAGCATGAGGCAGAACCATGCCGAGAGTGGGTTCTGCTAATAGGCAGAGTAGGGGATGGCACCTGTCACAGACCTGTCAGTCTAGAGGCCTCAGGCCCAGTCTTTCTCTCGCAAGTGCCCGCCATTGGCTACAGCAGCCTGAACCTGCAAGGATGGGTTAAGAACCACAATGCTAGTTTATCCCATTAGACATTCGTGCATTTGTTCACTCATATGCCTTTCTTGCATCTCTACTTTGCCTCAACAACTAACCATAAGAAATTTGAGAAAACATGTACAAATCTATGGACTCTCCAGAAAATGGTCATGGTAGCATTTGGGTAATAAAATTTCAATGCTTTATGAACATCTACAAAAAAGCAAATTAAAGCAAAGTAACGTTCATCGAGATGCTATAATACTATGCTGCTATTTAAAACAATATTTCCTAAGGCAAAGGAATGCTTATAATCTAATTATTAATCTAAAATAATCTAAAAACTGAAAACATTCAACTCTTTCCCCCCATCTTCTCTAGACTTCTTTCGCACTCAGTTAAGTAACACACCTGGTTAGAGACCTGAGTCACCCATGACTTCCTTTTCTGCTTGGGACTTCTTCAGCTGTTAGGTTTAATCTAGTTCACATAACTTGTTACGTGTTGCCTGAAAGCAAGCAATGGAAACTTTTCTCCAAATTAACTTGTACGCAACAGACCAATAGCTTTCAAAAGAGTTGCTCTTGTTGACTCAAAGTTAGCAAGCCCGGAACCCTCCTCCTCTCTAAGCCTCCTCAGGTCCATCCTGCCTACCACACACCCACAGCAGCCCCAGGAAGCACCTCCCAGCAGCCCTGAGTTTCTCCGTGCACTTGAGAAATGGAATTGATGGTTCTAGATTCTGCCCGTACCTATGCCTGCCTCTGCAACTAAGCTGGGTGCTTCTCAGGGGCCTGAAACCAAGCTTTCTAGGTCCTTGGAGATGTTCCACAGAAGCATTTCTCAAATATCAACGGGCACGAGAAATCACCAAGGGTGTGTGTTAAAAATACAGATTCCTGGGCCCCAACACCCCAGATGATTCTGATGTGGATGCTCCGTGTGTTCTGTCACAGATTCTAGCTTAGTGATCTAGTTTGGCCAACGTCTAGCATTTCGTTCAACACTTTCTGAACTCAACAGAGCTGCCTCATGAGGCCCCTCGGACTGTACATCTTTGGAGGGTAAGACTAGATACTCCTCACCTCTTACCCACGGCGCCTGACCCAACACAAGGCGCACAGGTGGCTCCTCAGTAAGGAGAATGTACGTTGGACAGAGGGAGGGATGGGTGGACAGATGGATAAATTCAGGGAGACAGTTTCAAATTATTCTCTCCACTGTATAAAAGGCAAACTCTTCAATCGGCTCCCCTCTGAAAAGGAAGGGTGAGGTGGCCAAGAGCCTGGACTCAGGAGCCTGACTGCCTAGGTTCACACTGCAGCGTTACCAGGAAAAGCCACTTGCCCTCGGCCAAGTTACTGAATCCCTCTGTGGCTAGGTTTCCTCTCCTGAACAACAGGGAAACAAACAGTGCCTCCCCTCCACGGTGGAGGTGAGGATGAAAGGAGGTGATACAGGTAATAACTGTCATAGGGATTAACACGCACTGCCTGGCACGGTCACTTCAGCTGCAACAGAGCACATGGCAAGAAGGTAAGGCCCCCCACGAGTGTGCGTTACACAACCAGGAGTTGGGAGGTGTGGGCTTCTGCTCTACGTAACCTTGGCCCACAGCTCTTGCAGTAGATTAAGAAATCATCCAGCCCGGGCTTCTTGTTCTACAGATGGAGAGACCCATTGCTAAATCTGTCTCGTTTTCATCTGTCAAATGGAATGTAATAGTCTACAAGATTGGAAAGGTCTAGTGGAGTATGAACATAATTTGAAAGGGCCTACGTGGAAGAGCCAGTATAATTTTCCGTGTTTTTGGAGCTCATTTAACTATCCAAAAGCTCTTTCTGGGGGTCTCACTACCGCACGGTTGCCAGATAGTCAATCTGTAAGAGCCTATCCCGCTCACAGGAAAGTATGCAAACCTTCCTGCAGCATCTGGCTCAGAGCTTCTACAACTCAGATCTTTGCGTCTAGAATCCTCATATTCTCTCACTGCCCATGGGGCTTCCCACAGCGATGTAACAAATATTAGTTACATCTCTACCTTAAGCAGCATGAAACTGGCAGGAAATGTACTTACTTCATCCTTAAGACAACTTAGTCAATTTACAATGAATGAATTCGGCACACTGCTCTGTAAGATTGAGAACTGCTTATACAGATCTGACGATATTTGTGTATTTCTCTTAACTTTAATAAAAAGTCATACCACTTCAGATCATTTAAGGATAGAGTAGTTAATTCTACTTATATGAACATCAACATCTTCAATGCAACCAACAAGAGAAAGAACTAAAAAACATCGATGGTGGAAATTTGAAGGGGATTTTGAGGGAAGAAGGAAACCAAATACCAATTTACACACAGAAGGAAGTAGATGGCCTAAACTGAGGGGGTGTCAGGAAATCCCCCTGTCTAAAATATCCTTTCTGAAAATCTCCCATTAGGCCTGGGGTCTCCGGAAGATCACCAAGTCACTTAGGTATTAACAAACCCCGAAGGAAGTAGGCCTTCCTCATTTCAAAAAAAAAAAAAAAGAAGTATGACCAATCATTTTGTCATTCAAGTGTGAAATCCTGAGTCATCTTATGTCTTTTTATAACCAAAATCTAAATCGCTTGACTCTTTCTTAGAAGTATCTTTTCTTTCTTTCCTTTCCCAACATCTACTAGCAACACCTGTCTCCCTAGAAGATCACAGTAGCTTCCAACCTGGTGTCCCCTCTGTCTAATCCACCATCACTACCTACCATCTGATTAATCGTCTGAAAATAGAGTTCATCAAGTTACTTCTTTGCTCCACTATCAGATCCAGTGGCTCCCCACCGTCACAGGCTAAAATCCAGACTCTCAAACCAGGACTTGAGGTCCCACATTTAATGCTGCCCAGATCAGTGCCTCCTGATCAAAATTCACTTCCTCTGGACTCTGCTGCTCGGCGGGCCCTTGCTAACTAGGCTTCCTAAGGGCTATTCAGTTGGTCTGACTCCTAAAATCAAGCACCTTAGTTGAGCGACCATGGAATTTTAAAAATCAAATTACTCTTAAACATTTCATCAAGTTTAAAAAGATAAACGTATTCAAAAGTTTGAACTCAGTTTTACAAACTCTATAAAAGGGCTCTTAAAATGTATTCCATTGTTATCTAAGTTTGAAATCAATCTTTTTAGTTGCTGGCTCTATAAACAGCCAGATCCCCAACCTGCACATTTTAAAAATTCTGCCTCTCCAAAGGCAACCACTGGTTCTTCTAATGGGATGCCTGCACACCTTAACAAGCCTCACTCTTCTAAATGGAGTTGATCATCTTCTGGACAAACCAGCCACCCAGTCTGACAGCCCCCACTTCTGTCAACTGCACCTCCGACCTCCCAGTCACCTGGTTCGATTGCTTTCATTGCTATAACAAATATTTATTGAATGCCTAGTACCTACTGAAGTCCCTTGCTGGGCTCTGGGGCTACAATGATGAACAAGAGAGAAATTCCCTCTTCTTTCCAATATGTCCAGCAGACCAGGCAGGTGAACTGGTGAATAACAGCTATTCACCCAGCTCCTCACCCCATCTTGTGCCACTGAGACTGCCTCGAATGGGACTTAGAGCTCAGACCTGAACTTCTACACCGGATTTTCTGCCTCTTCTCCATTCCCTGCAAACGATCGTACACACTTTGCTACGAGTTGGATCTTTCTAGAACACCTCTGGCATAGGGTAGGGAGGGCTAGAATGACACCCTCTTCTAGGAGAAAACAGTGAACCTGGAACCCCACAGAGGTGTGACATGGGTACAGGTTCAGCTGGGAATGCTGGTGGGTAGCACAGAAAAGGCAGCCAAAATCAAGGGCAACACTAGGATGCCTGAGAACAGAAAGAGGTGATCATGGATGCCAGCTCTCATACAGCCTTGCATTATCGATCTTAGCTTTAACTCAGAGAGATGGGGCCACTAGAAGGTTCTAAGCTGATGAATGACATGCTCCAACCTCTGTTTTAAGATCACTCTGGCTGCTTCTGTTTAAAAATAAACTGTGGTCATAATATATGTAAGTCAAACCATTACACTGTACACCTCAAACTTATACAGTGATACAGGTCAATTATGCCTCAATAAAACTGGAAAAAAATGAAATGTAATTAAATTTGTAAACAACACAAAATGCTCCTGTAAGGGGCAATGGTAGAAGCTGGGTGCCCAACTAGGCGGCTGCTGCAGTCCTCCAGATGAGGATAAAGAAGCCTTGGATCAGCCCCAGAGGAAGTGGTGAGAAGTGGTCAGATGCTGTAAAACCAGCAAAATTTCCTGGTGGGATAAACGCAGTGTTCGACAGAAAGAGGAAGAGAAACATGGTGTCAGGATGACATCAAGGTTTTAGCCTGAGCAACCAAAAAGACGGCACTGCCATTAACCAAGCTGGGGGAAAGATTTGGGGAGGAACGGGATTTAAGGGAAAGTTGATGAGCTCACTTTGGGACCTGTGATTTGAGAGGCCCATCAGATAGATATCCGAGTGAAATACAGAGGAAGAGGTCAGAAACACACATAAGGAGCTCAGTGGGGCTCCAGGTGAGAGCTCTCAATCTGTGCATTATCAGCACCAAAATAATATTTAAAACCTGAACCCAGAACGAGCTCACCCAGCTGGGTGTGAATGTAGGCAGAGAAGGGTGGCTCAAGCCTTCAAGTCTCCAATGCTTGCAGGTTGGCAAGATGAGGGAACCAGCCAAGGAAGCTGAGAAGGAAGAGTTAGTGAGCTAAAAGAAAACCGGAATAGGGTGGTGTCCTGGATGCCAAGAGAAGGTTGTGTTTCAGAGGAGAGAGTGATCAGCTATGTCAGATGCTGCTGAGTGGCCAAAAAAGATGTGGTGGAGAGAGCATGAATGGATCACTGCCTTCATTAATGAGGAGATCAAGAGTTCTGGTACAGTGATGGGATGAAAGCCTATTTGGGGTGGGTTAAAAGTAAACAGGAGAAAAGGAGTTAGAAAGCAAACATGGACAACCCTTCAGGGAGATTTTCTACAAACTCAAGATGGCAAGTGGTAGCTGGAGGGGTGGAGGGGGCATCAGGGGGCTCCCGGTGCTGGCATGAATGTCTGATAGCATACTGCATGCTGGTCGGGTCGGGCTCGCAGCCCACGGAGGACACTGCTGCTGGAACAGAGCAAGGGCACCGACTAGAGCGATGTCCCCAAGGGCAGTGGCAGGAGGCAGGGCTCGGGGCACAGCGGAGGGCTTGGTCCTCTGTGAGCAGGGTACCCGTGCTCAAGGGCAGGTAGACAGGAAGGCTAAGGGTGACAGCCTATGGAAATTCTCCTCCGAGTGCTTCTCTTCCTCAGTGAAACAAGAAGCGAAGCTTTCAGCTGAGGAGTGGCTTTGGAGAAGAGGGTCTTCAAGGCTTGAGGAGAGGAAGGATAATTGCTAGGACACTGGGGGACATGTTGGACTTGACTGAGGCAAGCGACCAGAAGCTTCACGTGTGGGGCTCTGCGGGGCGATGAGTTTCTCGGCAGCCACAGTGTGTGAGCGCAGAACAGGCAGCACAATGGACTGGACCTGGTTGCACAGGCCAGAGGAGTATGGCCCATTTAAAAAGGAGCAAGGATGGGGCACCTGGGTGGCTCAGGTCATGATCCTGGGGTCCTGGGATCGAGCCCTATGTCAGGCTCCAGGGAGCCTGCTTCTCCCTCTCCCTCTGCCCCTGCTTGTGCTCTCTCTCTCTCGCTCTTTCTCTCACATAAATAAATAAAATCATTAAAAAGTAATTTAAAAAATTAAATTAAAAAAATTAAAAGGAGCAAGGAAACTAAGCAAGTCTTCCAATGTGTGAGCCGTGAGTGAGCGTATTCGGGGCTGCCTAAGGAGGACAGGGGGCCATGCAAGGTGAAGGGGTGGCAGATTTGGCAGAGCAGGGGACATCTGGCATGACATAGTGGAGGGCTTAGAATGAGTGGTAATAGACCTGTACCTCTGAAACAAATAATACATTATATGTTAAAAAAAAAAAAAGAAGAAGATAGCAGGAGGGGAAGAATGAAGGGGAGTAAGTCGGAGGGGGAGACGAACCATGAGAGACGATGGACTCTGAGAAACCAACTGAGGGTTCTAGAGGGGAGGGGGGTGGGGGGATGGGTTGGCCTGGTGGTGGGTATTAAGGGGGGCACGTTCTGCATGGAGCACTGGGTGTTATACGCAAACAATGAACCATGGATCACTTCATCAAAAACTAATCATGTAATGTACGGTGACTAACATAACATAATAAAATAAAATTAAAAAAAATAAATAGAATGAGTGGTAATGACAACTTCTAGGTTCTATCCATGGGGAAAGGTGGGGGAGGTGGATGGAAGACAAGACCATCACAGGTGAGATCAGGGGCTCAGAAGCCAGGATATTAGAATTATATATTTAAATATTATAATCACTAAGAATTATAACAGCAGGAACATCAGAAACAGCAAAAGTGAGCCAGGCATTCCAGTGATCCAGAAACGTTGGGATGTATCCACAGGCCTATAGGTGACAAGGAGAATGACCTGGAAGTATCGACGGGAAGTGTGGAGGAACCTGGACTCTATCTCCAGTGTCCGTGTAAAGTGATACAGGAGAGAAAAAAATCCACCTCCTGGGGTGCGGTGCAGGTGCAAGCAGGCACTCTAATTTCTAGAGCATCATCTCTCAGTGGAGCTCGAAGAGTTTTCAGTTCACTGCTGCCACTATATCCCTTTCCAGAATATTCCTAGCAAGACAAGAGATGCCGCTGGCAGCAGCTCAGCCCAGCTGGAGTTGCTCCCTCCACCTCGGTCACATCCTCTCCTCAGAGGATGACGAGGGGACGGACACTTGCTCCTCCTGTGTGCCTGACAGCCTAAGAGATCGAATTCTCTTATTTCTCAGAAACCGTTCATTTGTGTTCGTCTCTTAAAATAGTTGGAAAGTTGCCATTTTAAACAAACCAATTTATGGGATACTCACCAATCACATTCAGAGTAAACAAGATGTCACCAAAGCTCGGAGATTCAATTCTATACTCAGCTTCATCCGATGATGTCAGATTGAAGATGGTAAGGCTTCCTGACGTGGTGTCTAAACGAACTCTACCTACAAAAGGTGGGAAAACGTGGACGGGAGAGCCTGCTTCCCATTCGATGACTTTATCCTTACTTTTTGTCCACATGATCTCTGTAAAGTGTACGGACCTTGCTACATAGAAAGTTACGCTCTCGTTCACAATTCCAAACATCCTCTGAGGATCACAGCTGATGGAGTCTAGGAGGGAAAAAGAAATTGGTTAGGAAAACCAACACGACATTATTGAAAAGAGAAAACCATCCTCCAAGATGCTCTTTGCGGGCGAGAAAAGTTAAATTTAGCAGTAAAAATGATTCATTGACTAACTTTTCTCACTAAGCAGATAAACTGCTGACGGCAAACACAGCAGCAGGACATGTTTGACCGTGCGGAGTTTACTCTCTAATGGGGGCACTGGGGCCCACATAAATGCAAGAAGCGGATTCAACTTCAATGGAGCACCAAGTCCCTGCTAGGGGCTGTGAGCATGGCTGCCAACATGACAGCCAACCAGACAGGTGTCCCTCCAGGCCCTCAAGAAGCCCCACTGTGTAGGGAAGACAAAGCAGGCCCGGGGAGCCACCTCCTTGAGGGCCTTCCCCAGGAAGTCATGCTGACACACCACAGGAGGCATCACCCAAGGGCTGGGGGAGTGGGGGAGGAGACGTAATTGTACTGATAGAGGAAGCGGAGCCTCCCCTCCAAAAAAATAAATAAAATAAAGGAAGCCCTGAGTTGAGAAGGAACTGGGTGTGTTTGAGGAAATAGTAAAAGCAGCTCCCCATGGCTAGAGGAAGCGAGCAAGCAGGTCACAGGTCACAGGTGGGGGGTGAGGCTGGAGGGGCAGGTGGGGTCGGGTCACAGTGTATGTGAGTGTACTTGGGGGTGTCAGGTAAGACATGCTAAGGGTTTGGGATGGATCCTAATGGCAAGGCAAAGCCACAGGACGGCTTTCAACACAAGACCGGCATGACGTCATTTAAGCGTGGACAGCGGTGGCTGGGGCCAGGCATGCAGGCAGGGAAACCAGCAACGAGAGGGTGGCAGACTGCGCAGACCAGAGCGGGGTGTGGGTGGAGGGGACAGACAAAAGGGCAGACTTGGAGAGAGCAGCTTGGGAGAGAAAGCAACGGGGGTTAGTGACTGGAGGTGGCGGGTGAGGGAGAGGGGGTAGTTAACGGTGTCGGTCAGGCATCCTTCTTGGCTGACTGACAGAGGCTATTAGCTGAGATCAGAAACAATGACTGGGAAGCAAGCCAGGTGGGGTGAGATGCAGACTAAGGGCACAGGACCAGGTTCAGTGGCATGGGGAGCGTGGGGGAGCAGGCTCCAATCGTCCCCCCTCGTGAGTCAACCGTTAGCATCTCATCTGGACCCCATTCAGCCAAGCCTGGCTGATCACCTGAAACCCACGTGGTGGGAGTATTTACAGCAAAGGAACTAATGCTTCAGAGAGAGACTCCTGCCTACTCTGCACCAATCCGGTTGTTAAATATTTACTACCACCCCTAGACTGGGATAGTCTCGATACCCCAAAATGGGTTTAAATGCATCTGGTTCCAGACTTGACTTTCTTGTTAAGAGAGAAGAGCAGCTGTTAAGGGAAAGACATTAAAGATAAATTAAAACTTGATGGAAGTTTATGCCTACTAGCAATCAGGGTAATTGAAAGAGCATGGGAAAAATCAAAGCTATTAAATAGACCAATTGTAGGCAACTGTGTTCAGTAATTTCAAATAAGTAAATACATCCCATTTGTCTATTGCGAGGATTTCTAGAACCCATCTCCCTTAATTAAGGGGGACTGCCCACAGGAATACACCAGCAGCCCTCGTTGCGGTGCTGATCACGCCCTCTCTTCTCTCACACCTGACCAGAGCACGTGGGAAGGTGGATGAGAGGGGGCAGGATTTGAGGGGTGAGGGTCTATCCACAGCCACTGGCGGAGGCTCGGAATGTCTTGTGAGTGAACGAATGAGTGAATGCGTGCATGAACGGCAGTGGGTAGGGTGGCGGGGGAAGAGAAGCAGTAGGAGGTGAACCTTGGCTGCATCAAGATGGATGGCTGCCATCTTCCCAGGGAGAGGTGTTTCCTGGGCTTGAGAACAGGAGGACGAAAGAAGTCGGGAATGGAGCTAGTGCTGGTAAGAAGCACGGGAGGGGAAGGGAGAGACCAGTTCCAAAAAATTCAGTTTCGGGCTGGAAGAAACTCTCAAAACCATTTAGTCGAACAACCCCCCCCCCCCATTTCATAGGTGAAGTGACAGGGCACCAAGAAAACTGAAGGGCAAGGTCACCGGATGCCTCCTCGCTGCCAGCAGTGTATTCACGCACCCTCGTGTCCCTTCTCAACGCCCGTCACACACACTGCAGTAGTGGTGCTCACCGCATCACACAGAGTCCCTCGGCAGGCTTACGGTGGCAGAGGGACCAGAACACAGATTTCCTGACTCTGTGCAGCCCCCCGCTCCCTTCACAGCAGCCTGGTCCTGGTACTCTGGAAATACTCACTGGGCAGCTCTACGATGTGGGGACTCCCCCCACCCCAGAACACGACACAGTCCCTGCCCTCTCAGAGCTTACTTTTTGTTAGGGAAGTCAGACTTGGTCCAAATAATTGGACCAGGGGCGCCTGGGTGGCTCAGTCGGTTAAGCATCTGCCCTCAGCTCAGGTCATGATTCCCAGGGTCCTGGGATCGAGCCCCACATTGGGCTCCTTGCTCAGCAGGGAGCCTGCTTCTCCCTCTGCCTCTGCCTGCTCCCCCTGCTTCTGCGCGCTATCAAATTAATTAATTAAAACAAATAATTGGACCAACACTCCACTGCAACCGTGCTCAGGGCCACCAAGTAGAACCACAGGGTATCACTATAGAGCACCCACTAGGGGAGCCGACGAGGGGTTAGAGACAGCTTGCGAAGAATGAGGAGCAGTGAGCCCCACTGTCGTTCCCTAAGACAGGGGACGTGGAGGAGAGCCAGGCTGGGGCTAGAAGATCATACTTTCAGTTTTGGACACTGTGTGGGGTCTGTAAGACTCCCAAGTGGAGATGTCCAGTAGGCTGCTGGGTACACAGGTCCGGGGCTCACAGGAGAGGATCCAGACTTGGGGATCATCACATTTGTAGTGGTTACTGTCTAGCATTCCCTTCCCACAGTAAAGTCTTTTCCATTGCACTTCCAAGACTAACCCTGAAGTAAGTTGCTGACAGGATAATCGCCAATGAAAAAGAGGAAAAGGAGAAAGGGGAGTGAGTTGTTTCTCAAAGGTCACAAACCGTGAATGAATGAATGAGTAAATGAATGAATGAATTTGCACACAAAGAGCAGCAAGGAAAGGAGTCAGCAGTGAGCTGGTTGCTTTGCTGTTATCGGAGTGGTCAGAGAGGATGCCAACTTCCCATGCTAGGGGGCAGAAGGGTGAGTGCCCAGATTCTCAGGTAGATGGGCCCAGGGGAACTCTCAAAAGCCTCCCACACAAGGCTCCCTCAGCTGTAAAATGTAAATCATAACGCCCAACACAAACGACTGTTTTGAGGTTTGAATAAGACTGAGAGTCTTTACACAATGGCCGAAATGAAGCTGACTTTCAACAGGGCTCTCCCTCTTTTTCTTGCAGTGAGTCAGGCCACATCAACACCTTGGTTGTATGTGATCCTGCTTCTGTGACCACTGAGTGTGGTGTGAGTTTGCATCATTTACAAACAGAGAGAGGGAAAGAAAAAATGAATTAGTGATTGCATAAACAGACATTCCATGCTAGCCAGCATTTTTTTAAAATTGTTTTGAAGAATACTGAATGATCTTTTAAAGATAGGAGGGTACCTAATACCAATAGAGAAATCATATATCTAAAAACAGCCCCAACTCCAAATATTTTGTTGCAGTGTCCTTGCAAAACATTTTCATCACACCCAATTTTGCTAATTCTTCTATGGTTTGAAGTCAGAATTGCAACTCACATATTTTGCAGATGAAGTGTCCTGATTTTTTGACTTAGAAAATATGGTCACCATAACTACTGAGTTAAGGAGGAGGACTTCCCACTCCCAGCCACAAATTCCTCTGCGTGTTTTCAGCTGGCTCCTGGGACTGACGTGGACTGCTATTTTTAGTAATCAAACACTTGTATAGTACTTACTATCTGTGAGGCACCATTGGAAGAGTTCTACAAATATGCACCCATTGAACCCTCTTAAAAGCCACACGAGGCAGGCGTTATTTTTGACCTTATTTTTTGCAGATGAGGAAACTGAGGCGCACAAAGATTAAGCGACTTGCTAGTGAAGTGGTAAAACTGGATTTGAACTTAGACGGTCTGACTCCAGAATGCTCATAACCACGATTTCTTATTTGGCCTGCTATGCGGCATATGGCTATTAAAGACGTGACACGATACAGGATTTCTACAGATGTGGTTTCTAGAATGTACTGGGACTACTCTAGTTGAGAGACTCAAGCATGCCGCTGAAAACTGCCGGTGAGGTACCAAGCTCAGTGGTCCCCAAATCACTGAATGTCAGGGCCTGAGAGGTCCTGAGAGAGCAAGAGTCTGTGGACCTCATGCCCCTGACTTCATACATGAGGAAACTGAGGTTTGAGCAAGAAAGTGATAAACCCAAATCCCCAAAATGTGACAACCTGAGTTTTGTGATGGTGGTGTTGCAGTTTGCAAACGACTTCAGATGTGACAAAGGGACCTGGGGCAGGGCTTCATAATTAGAGGCCATGAGAAACGAAGTTGAAGGGAGGGCCTAAGAGTCTGCACTCCTCATGGGTAATGGCAGGTACCATGCGAGATGCGGAAAAGGGACAAGAGAGGCTTTAATGCGGGGACGAAGAAAAGCTGGAGCCAAAAAAGGAAAGAAAAGGGAAAGAAAACAGGAACAAAGGGAAGAAGTAACAAGGGAAACCAAACCACAGGAGCCACTGCGAAGCCTGAGAGAACGGGGAGATGAAGCATGAACAGACACCCGCCGTGCAGCCAGCAGAGGCCCCGGCGAGGGCCGGGGAGCTGAGGCACGGGGGCACTGGCGCGCATGCGCTCCTCTGGAGCAGCGCGGCTCACCTCCCACCCGCGTGAGCGCAGGCAATTTGCAGACCTTCTGATTTTCCAGGAAATGCTGGATGTTCAAATTTGGTG